GTACTCTTAGCTTGGCTTGGTATGAGCCTGCTATGTACTGAATTAATTAGCAAGTTGTTGTAATCCACATTTAATTGCTAGAAGATTGCTGAAGGAAAAAACAAATTGACCACCAGGGGACGCTACTGCATTGCTATTGGGGTTGGTTCTGCCTCTGAAACCAGATGCCTTCTTATTCCATTGACATTCTTGGCAGTCCAAGGGGAGGGGGTGGTTTAGCATTTCTACCGGTGCTGTGTCTGTGAGAAGAGCTTAATTGTTTAATTGCTTTTTTTAGTGACGAGGAATTTGGCCCGGTTGCTACGGTATGAAATGGCTCTATTGTTTGTGTTGGGTCCAGAAAAGAGCATCAAACAAGCCAACAGAAATTTGCTAAAGTTAGCAAGAAACCCTTTTCATCCTGCTATGTTCATTTAAAGGGTCATTCTCACTCATTCCAAGACATCCGAGACAAACTGAGTTGAATTCACAGACAATCCTTTGAAACCATCCCTTTATTGCCTCAAGAAGGTGGCTGAAGCAGGCTAAGCTTTTCCTGAGATAGACAGCACAATATCTCTTTGACCTAACGTTGTTTTGTAAATGGGTCTAAACAAGACACAAAGCACTTTATAATCTTTACTTTGAAACGTTGCCTAGCATGCAGTGATGACTTGCCTAGTTAACAGCGAATTAACAAAACAATACTAATCACACCTTCTTTGAAACGCTGTCTGCCAAACAGATACACTGACTTTACTGTTGCAGGCGATGAAATCAGCCACATCAAGTTACTGTCACATGCAAGAGAATCTTTGCTTTACTTCTTTAAATTGTTTGCAGATCAGAGGAAAATTAATCCCATCAATTTACTATACTGCCCTAGACAGGAAATATGGCTTTATTCCAATCCGGGACAGATAGATAACTCAGAGGAACAAACAGAAAATATTGCTTTATTCTGGGAATCCTAAACAATGACTTACAATTTGTAGATGTACGTCCAAAACATGTTTAGCGATATTGGATTGTTCCACAGGTAAATTGATGATGGATTTTCCCCTCTTCTCCTGCATAATCATCACATGTTGACATAGGATCTTCATAGAAGCCATGAGCTGTATGAACAAAGGCATTCCCAAGTGGCTTGTCTCCAGGAAGTCTCCCAATGCCCTTTAGAAACTCCTCCCACTGACCCATTATTAACATACTGATACATGCTCTCTAGTTAGGGTTACATAGAGCTATACGAGGTTACATAGAGCTATATGGTTCAGAATACACATGCTTGATAATATAAGACCCAATCTGGTAATCCAAATTCTCCATTTCCTTTGGATTCTTATAGTATTTTCAGTTTAATTCTGGCTTTCCTTCCTTGCCAAATAAATTTCAAAATCAAAGTATTTAAATCATCAAAAAAATTCTTCTCTGTTTTTATAGATACTGTTTGGAACAAGAAGAGCANTCAGTTTTCTTTATAAGAAGTTGCCATGGTCAATTTATAATTTCTTTCCCAAAGATTTTGCCATTTCTCTAATTTTATATTATATCCAAAGTTTTCTGCCCACTGCATCATTGTTTCTTTCACTTTTTCATCCTCCATTTTTGAATTTAACAGAAAGTTATATAGTTTCTTAAACAGTTTTTTATCAGAGGTCAACAGCATCTGATCAAACATTGTTCTTTATAAAAACCATACATTTTCGCATTTTTATCATACTCGATTGCATTTGCAACTGGGGCCACCATGATAATTCAGTACCCTGGTCTACAACCTCTTGTTTAGATTTTAATTTCCCTTCGGTATCCAAAATATCTTTATATGTCCATATTTTTCATATTTCACTTGATTCGGGTGAACAAATGCTTCCATCATTAAAAGCAATCCTGGGATTCTTAAGTAGAGTTTAGGTTTTATCTTTTCACACACAAGAAGTAGTGTATTTCTTATATAATGATTTTGAAAATATCTATGAATCTTATTCTTCTCATACCATAGAAATGCATGCCAACCAAGTTGCGGATCATGTCCTTCTAGATCAGTGGTTCCCAACCGGTCGTAAGTCGAGGACTAAACCGGTCGTAAGTCGAGGACTAAGCCGGTCGTAAGTCGAGGACTACCCAACCGGTCGTAAGTCGAGGACTTTCCCTGCCCGGGAGCGCCGCGCATGCGTGGTTCTGCCCCCTGCGCCGGCCGAGGCGTAGCTGGCAAGCGGCAGAGATGGAGCAGGCCGACCACCAGCTGGCCCAGCCCAAGGGAGGTAAGGCACCCGCCGGAAAAGGGGGGAAAAATGGTGGACAAAAAAAATGGCGGACAAAAAAAATGGCGGACAGCCTTGCTTGGCGACCCCTATGAAATGGTCGATCGACCCCAAATGGGGTCCCGACCCACAGGTTGAGAACCACTGTTCTAGATATAACAGTCTTTTATGTCTGAGAGTTATTCATTCTTTTAGGCATATTAAGACACATGCTTGATAATATAAGACCCAATCTGGTAATCCAAATTTTCCATTTCCTTTGGATTCTTGTAGTATTTTCAGTTTAATTCTGGCTTTCCTTCCTTGCCAAATAAATTTCAAAATCAAAGTATTTAAATCATCAAAAAATTTCTTCTCTGTTTTTATAGATACTGTTTGGAACAAGAAGAGCAGTTTTGGTAAACTATTCATTTTCACATTAGCTATTCTTCCTAACACTGATAGTTGTAAGTTTTTCTATTTTTCTAGATCTAATTTTATTTGATTAAGTAATTTTATGTAGTTATCTTTTATCGTTGCACATCTTGCTGTTAGGTATATTCCCAAATATTTAACTTTCCTATTTGAAAATCCATTTTTTCTGACAATTATTCTGTTTGCTTGGATGTAAGGTTTTTAACTATAACTTTTGTTTTTTTCTCTATTTATCTTCATTCCTGCTACTTCTCCAAATTCCTCAATCCTTTTCAATAGTTTAGGGGTTGTCTACAATGTCTTCTGAGATAAATACCAAGTCATCTGCAAATGCTTGTAATTTATAGCTTTCATCTTTTATCTCCATTCCTTTAATTTCTGGGTCTTGTCTAATGTTCCTGTTGAAAACTTCCAATGTCAATATAAATAGCAATGGGGATAA